GTTAACGATTGCGAATTTTGCAAAATGGTAGAGGACTTTTCGATTCAGTTTAGTCCGTTCTACCTACCCATGAACGGTGATACACCTATTATGAGACATCCTGTATATATATATATAATTAAAGAATATAAAATTCTTAACAATTTTATATTTCTAATAATGATTATTATAATTAATTTGTGATTCGAATGAAGTAGTTTCCATAAAATCGTTCATCTCGAATGTTTTTGTCAGCCGAAGGAATAATGGTTCGTGAGAAATATCGTTTCCTTGTTGCACGCGAATTCTTCGCTTTTACCGCAGAAGCATATTTGAGTTTAGTGTACTCTGCAACTACATCGAATGTGGTTGATGACTCACAAATTGCCAATTGCAAGCAATTTCGGAAGGGAATTTTCTTCTAATCCGGTCCGACACGTCGTAAGTCACGCGCCGGCATCGCGAGGGATGTGCTTGTGCATAAAACAGGGATGATCTGGCGTCTATGAGACGAAATAGAGGGTCTACAATTTTCTTGACGCCCGCGTCCACGTGCCCGATCACGTGCGTGACGCATCCGTCACTCCATATACGTCCGAAAAATTGGGAAAGATTGCTCGCGTGAGACTAGTTTCTGATCGATGTCGTTTATTTGAACAGACCTGCATTTATCTGAAGAATGATTAAACTCTTTACTCTAAAATTACCTGTTTCTGTATATATCTAAAAATAAATAAATAATTCAAGATTAGTTTAGATAAATGATAATTTTCTTTGAAGGTGATTAAGTTAAATAATTCTATATCAAGCAAATTTAAATATTAATTTTAAAAATATTTAAATATAGAATATTTAATATAAATAAAAATGATTCATCTTGCAAGAATCTTGTTATTACAATATTTAGCGATAAATACAATAAATTATTAAAATGTTTTATATTTGTGTGTGTGTAAGAAACTATTTCTCGTAAAAGAGAAAACATATTTCTTTTTCCTATTCAATTATCAGCGTAATTACTATTTTCCAATGACACAAAAACAGAATAGTGCCACAACAAGTATGAAGTAAAATGAGGAAAAACCCGCCAGACTTGAGCATCGTTTTGTAAACAATTCTCCGAGGCATTATTACTCGATGGTCTCTCGATCTTACGGAGGTCGGTTTACCTTCCCGGGCTATCCAACGAGCCATCCCGCTGTTCGCAAAAAAGGAACGATATTTCTTCTGAGAACTCCGACGCAAATTATGTCAAGACGGTCTCCGCGTTACGGCTTTCTCGGTCTCACGAGATCTCTAAGTGCTGATGAAACTTTGATTCCGACTTAGTCGCATGATTTCCCAAGCCATTAGTGCGAGTAACACTTCATGTCTGGTTAATGCATTTCTGAAGGGTACCGCTTGAATTTGCCTTTTGAAAAATGATATTAGAAAAAGTCAAAAATCGCAGAAAGTGTCCTTAAGATTTCTAACAAGTAAAAAATGATGACTGAACAAGAATCATTTTAGAGATTGCTTTATGTTTATCTCTTGCGATGTTTGCAGAGCTTTAAATGCTATTTAATATTTTTTATTTATCTAACTAAAAGCATCAATGACAAAAACAATTTTATGAATTATATAAATAAACTTAAATGAGATTTTGTTTTTATTAATAAAGAATATATTTCAAAAATAATGTAAAAAATAAAGGCTAACGCAATAAAAAAGTAATCTTCTTTTTTTGAAGATGTTAGACATGCAATTAGTAAATGAGAATTTGATATATTTATATACTTTGATCAAGCATAAAATCTTATATTCAACTTAATATCTTTCATTTGATTCCTTACAGAATTGTGAAGAACAAATGAAGAAAATTGCTGTTGTATCAAACGCTTTCACAAATTTTGCGTTTCTATAGATCACGGGAAACTTCTAACATTTTCCACGTTGACGTGAAGGTATGATGCACTTAAACCTACCACAAAAAACCCTCTGCATTATGGTGCGACGCATTGGAATGCAGCGAGCTCGTCGACACTTGTCGACACTCGATTACGTTTGCAGCTACGTCTGTTCTGAGTTTACTCGACACGTTTTCTTGCAATTAGATGCAAAGCAACTTCTTTGAGGGAGCAGCAAAAGTGATACTCAATGAAAGTATTCAAGTTTCACTTCCGCGAGAAGTAGATTGAATGTAAAAACGGCCAGTAATCATCGAAAGCCTGGCATTCCAACGACTCTCAGTTATGCAGTTAGAATAAAAAGGGTTAATTATTTCCCGTACTAAGTTAATTATCCTTACCGTTGCACGAGAGCGTATAAATAAATAGGTAAGCGGATTAATATTTTTCATTATGTTATTCTCAAGTACCTGTCAAGTCAATCGAAGTTTACGATGCAACAATAACGTATTTACATTTTCTGGACGTCTATTAGCATTATTTTATGCATGTAATCAAAATAAAATTTGCATGTAAAAGAAATACAATTGAAGATTGCTGATCTTAAGAAATATACATAAATTAATTATATTATTTATTTAGTATTTATTATTTTTGTAGAAAACCGATATCTTTTGATCGAACTATGAATTGTAAAATCTGACAGAGATAATGAAAATTTTTGTAAGAAAAAGAGTTTTGTAAAGCACGCTAAGCATAAAGAAGTAGAAAGGAAGAACTAGATAGAAAAGGACAAAAGACTAATGTATCGCCTAAGGGGGCTTAATAGAAAAATGACTTATTTCCAGCCGTACATAATCCGAACACATAAGTCTGTCATAGATATAGGTCACATTATTGTCCAGGGATCTAAAGAATCTCTCAAATTACTAGCAATTTATATCGTCAGCATCTTCATTATCGATCTAGGTATTGCCGTTGTAAGGATTCCATTGACGATACAAAAAATTGACGCCAATGATGACAGTATTTGCACGATTATTAATAGCGATCGTATGAGGGCTCAGTAACCTCTGCGGCTTTATTGCCTTGCGTATATATTGCGTAATGGCGCATTAACTTGGGATCTTACGCCGTGAAAGTAAAACCCTGTGCTCGCACAGAGCTTCGACAAGTACGACCACGACGTCGCGCTCCAACGATCAGGGAGGAAAAAAAGAAAGAAAAAAAAATCTTGATCACGTAATCACCTGCTGTCGAGAATCGAATGTCACCTGTCTATTGTCTGCTGTGCGCAAAAGTAAAATACAAAAGTATAACTATTATACTTATTATAGACAGATCTGAAGAGAGTATTAAAGAGGACGTAAATGGTAGGTAATTATTATTAAATGATAATATAAATCTTTACAAAATAAATTTGAAATTAAAATCGAGTTTCACGTAAAAAAAATAAAATAAAATATAGTGTTTTTCCTTCTTACACATTAATTTTTTTGATATAAATTTTTACAAAGAGAAATAAATCACGATGACATATGGTACTTCGCAACAAAAGATCATAGTTTTAAATTTATTTTCTATGCAAATAAGTTTCTGTGTGTAACAATTTATTTATTTACTGATAATTGTTGATTATAATTTCAAAACGTACATATATTAAGATTCTATTTTCATATTACCTCGGTACTATAAATTTGACAAGTGCCAAAACTTAAAATTGATCAGAGAGGAATATTGAGCAAAAACGAGTTCGTAAGAGGTTAGCAAAAGGTTGCGTTTTTACTTTAAAATTCGATAAAAATGCAATCAAATAATGAAAAGACAAAATAGTAATTTCATTCATTAATCTACTAGTTATGATAAATTACGATAGTTACGAAATATTACTCTATGAAATTATCTTTCATTATATTCTTACCGCATGATGTAAAGTGGAATCATAAATTAATCACTTTTTGGCGCTCTAGGCTTTAAAAGTATTCAGCGTCTCATGATCTCTATGCAAAGTAGGTATGTAGACTTCTGACGTAATGATAGCGATAGCATGCGATTGCTGCAAACGCAACTGTTTCCCATGGCGGGAAATGTGTCGCGAGAAAAACGATTATGCAAGATTCGGTCTAAACAATCTAACAAAAAGGGCTCTTCTTCACATACGCTAGAGTAATAGTCAAAATAATTAATTGTCACAAAACACAGTCGTTAAGGCGATAAAATATCATGTTATTTTTTTCTGAAGATCAGTATTCTTCATTTGAATGTATGTATGTACGTGTTCTAAAGATGTATATATGTATAATGAAACTATTATATTTCAAACGTGATATCACACTAATTATGTACACCTCGTGACATTTGCTCATTATTAATTTTGTTTTCAAAAACAGAAAACTAAGATAGTAATTGGCACTTTTATCGATATAAATTTATAAATTGTCCATATAAATATAATACATGTATTTATTTGATAGAATAAAATATATTTCTTTTAAAAAATGAGAAAACATGAATAAATTATATTTAATGCAATTTCAAGTTAATTAATTATATTTAATGTAATTTCAAGTTAATTAAATTATTCGTAGTTTTATAATTCTATAAAAAAAGACATCTATAATTTTTATACTAAAATAACAAATGTATATATTTAATTACAATTCAAATTTATTTAAATATATTTTAATTAAATTTTCTTTATTTTTTTCTTTTTGTTGCTTCTATTAATCTCACATACATTCTTCTGTTATCTTTTTTATAATTAGATAACACATGCGTCAATAAATTGCAGGAAATGTATGACCCTGAAATCATCCGCCTCGAGTGTTACTTATAATTTACATTTATATGCGAATATTCATAATTTGCATTAACACGATATTGTATTTGTCGAAGTGTTTTGTGTGTGAACGCAGTGCCTGGAAGCATATTCCATCGCGATAAAATTAATTGGAAGCCATTTGAAATATTGATCTTATTGTATCAAGCAGGATTAAATTAGCAAGGCGAAATCGAGATAATGCGATCAAATTGATCCATAAAGTAATTTCCTATGTTTTATTTGATTTTTTTAATTAAAATTAAATAGTTATTATACAAATATGTGATCACGATCAAGAAATTAAATTGAGACATATATCCATCCCCTTTTTTTCTTGCTCTATCAGTTTTTATGTGATTTTTGAAAAGAATAATTTTGTTGTATTAAAAATTTTAAAAATATGAATATGGTTTTTTTTTATGTATAAAAGTATTATGTGTAATGAACTTAGTGGAACAACACACCTATTAGCAATATTTCTAAATGGAAGAGAAACTATGTCCTTTGCATGCATCTGCGTTAATGCGCATAACATTGTTAACAATTATAACACTGTAATTAACGGACGCGAGAAAGTAGCAGTCGCATTCTATCACGCTCGATTTTCATCCATTAAGCAATCGTGCATCTCGAGTTCATTTTACCCATTCGTGTAATTAACGTGCGAACAAAAAAGCCGGCCAATATTTTAGAATTCAAATGTAGAACGTCTGCGTCTAGTAACCTAAATAGCGCGGATTGCTTTCCTATTCCTACACGAAACCTGTAAATCTAGATCAAACATTCCTCGAGGCATATTTTGTTTTTCTATGCTATGCTGCACGTATTGCATATATATGGAATGTATTGGAATCATATACGTACATTATTTATAAATTCTTCATCTCATATGTATGTAACTTCGTTTTATACAGCGCTTTTTTATATCAGACAGATCACTGTCGACATCGAACAATCGCAGTTTATAAATATTCTTATGATCTAGTTAAGAAAATAATTTGTAATGTTGTATGACAGATATATAATATAAGTGGTGAGAATGGAAATAAGATTTTTTGCATAAAAACTGCAGTTGTCAATTTTCATTGCTTAATATTGAAACCATAGTATTCGTTATCTGTAGTAGGTAGTGTAATAAATAAAAATGCTAACTTGTTTAAACATGTAATAATGACATTGGTGTTTGTCTTTCAGTGCCATGGTATAGCCGAGGCTATACTTCTCCACCTCATAAACGGCACATTTAGCTATCACGCTATCACATTGTAAATGTGTAATTATCTGTTTTATTATACATTTCACTAAGCTTCGCCAATTTGTTTACCGCGTTAAAGATAAACTTGAGTGGCAAGTTCGAGTAAATTCGATTTTCATCAAATTCCATTCGTTTATATTACAAGACTGTTTTTAGGCAGACGCGCAATCGCGTTAAAAACGCGAATTGATATGTCGTAATCGCATTTTTTGTATAGCACGTAATCATGTTTACGAATAAAAATGTCACATATGTACAGTATCATCAAAGAGAGGAATATATGTCTCCAAAAGTTTTAATCCGACTAAAAGTTAATAAAAATAAAATGTTTTGCAAAGATATCAAAAAACAATTATGATATTAAGAAATAAAGCATCATAATATCACAATCGTAATGATAGCATAAAGCATGTGCAGCGTGACACATGTTTTCATTATGTCATCTGTTACATTCCGTCGAAAAATGTTTAGTTTCAAGTTATAAAACGACGTTGTAAAAGAAAAAAAACGACAACATTTTAATAATATACACAAAAATAGTGTTATTTGAATAATCTTCACTGCAATAAGGAAAATGTAATCTATATAAGAGTAATCTATATAAGAGTGTACCTTTAAGTTTATGAAAGACTATAAACTCATATCAAAATTATCATATAAAATATATATTGAAACATTCTGTCACTCTTTCGTTTTGTATAATCCGGAAAAATTAAAATCTTTTTTAATATAAAATATTTCTTAATCTAGAATGCTGTGTTCATCAATTTTCTATCTACTTTTAAACAATCTTGTAATAATTTTCGAACAAATTCGAGAGATAAAATCTCAAAAAAATCACACAAAGGAATTAAAAAATTTAATTTCTACATAATTTACTGTCGCGTAAAGATTAAACAGATCATCAACGTACATGTGCACCGATCGCTCCCGAACAAAAGTGGTACCACATGAGACCGAAATTAGATTTCAGGCAAATGATGCAGTTCCAAGAGATACGTTCCTGTACTATTTTCACCCTAAGCACGTTTTGGATGGACACAAATATTCTCGCGCGCGAATCGAATCCGCACCACTACTATGATAATAATTGGAACGTTCTTCAACGCAACCAGCGGAGCCGGCCGAACGAGAAACGCAACGCACAATGCGACTCCGCCGACGTCGCGGTGACAACTGAAGGCCCACGTATATAATGCACCGAGGCGAGGCGCTGAAGAGGCCCCACCAGAGTGTGTCCAAGCCGAAGTCAGGAACACCAGGTGTGCCTGAGCGCTTCAAACTGGGGGAATCCTACCGGCAGGTGAGAACGGCCATCTGATCTCTAGCCAAGGATGATCATTCGACCGGCAAGGGTAGCCGGTGTTCCGGATCCGTTTGCATTTCTCGAACAAAACACTCGTTGTGAAAAAACGAGAAAATAAGCAAAATCGCCGATAATTTTTCGAATACATTTATACCTGCTAAATTGTCTAAATAAAATAAAAAAAAAACAGAAAAATTCGCTCTTTCAAATAACTTTTGTTCATTTCGAGTAAATACAAATAATACTTGTTACGTTCAAATATTACGAGTGCTTTTCAAATTATACAAATATAGTATTCACAATTCTCTAGATATTTAAAATCTTTTTTAAATTAAATATTATTTTTATTTGTGTAACATTTATATAGTTCTTTATATCATCAGATCTCCGAAAATATACGCGTAATAAGTGGAATTAAGTTCTTTTTTTTTTTTTATGGAAACAGCGATTGTGAAAGATCGAAATTTTTGATAATGTAAATTAAATGGCTTTCAATGTGTTATAAAAGTTTGGATATTTAATCTGTATAACAGCAACATATATATCTAAACATGTTTAATATAATATACTATATTCATATATTAATCCAATATTAATAAAAATTCTTTTTTATAGAGTTGAGCACCACTGTTGTTACTTTCACGTCACCGGACGATTCAGGTCTGATGAAAGAACTTATGGAAAGTAATAAAAGGGTCAAGAAGAAGGGGATCTACCCACTGATTCCTGTCTACCTTGAGCGGCACTCCGTCATTCTATCTTGTCCCTTTCCAAACATCTCTTGCTCTGCTGTTACTCGATTCTTCACTTGTGACCATCTCAATTTCCTCATTATTATACGATTGTGACATCAATGATGCTAATAAATGTCTACAATTAGATGTTGACATATGTGAACGTTCATATACATATTCTTTACTTTATAATTTTTTTTGTTTACTTTAGAATTGACAATTTAGAATTAATATATACCCGACGGTTCAGACATTATATTATTTCAGGAAAACTTTTATGCACACAAAAAAGTATATTTTATTCTCTTTCGTAACTCTTTGCAAAACGTACGATTTGTCGTAGCAGGATAGCAAAATTTTTTGTTTTATATGATTGTTAGCTAATCATATTCAGACAATTGATTGGAATGCTATTATTTTTTATTAAAAATTGAAATTTAACATTTAAAATGAAAATAAAGTGTTTGTATTAAAATATATAAATATTTTATCATTTAAAACATTTATTTTATTATATTTGTATAAATCCAATGAGTCATGTCTAATTAATTCTCTTTCACAAAATTGCTATTAAAAAATTTCCTTCTCTTCTCTCTTCGTTTCCTCATTGCGCTGAATGAGTAATACGTGACACGATGGGCTTCGTCGAAAGATACATCGTGCGGTTTTTCCAACGTCGTGTTTTGCAACGAGAGGTCACCGACGAAGAACGAGGATCTTTTTCGCGCGACTCATTAGCGTAGTGAATTAGTGACTCCGGTTCAACGAGCCTTCTAGGGCAGACAACTCGAGAAACGGAACGAAAAGAGCATGCGGCCGAACAAGCACTCGTGGACACAGGAGGAAACCTTTGTTTCATGTGCAGATGAACTCACTATTCGAGGGTTGAAAACTGGTCTCTGACGCATTCCATACGGGTCGGATCCGGGATGAGGGACTTCATAACTTATCGTTGAGTCGACAGGAAATCCGTGTTAAACGAAATCTCTTTACGAGAGGATTAACTTGTAACGATTGTCATAATTTATATGAAATGTTCGCGAGAAATTAGAAGAGATTTAAATCTATACATATATGATTGTTATTAAATTCCTTTGTTTATATCTAAGAATAATAAACTAAGTCGAAGGTTGGAAGTTTTTTATTGTGATAAATTCTTTGATTTTTAAAATCTGCAAGAATTATATAAAATTTCTTATGTGAAAAGATTTTTGTGATTTAATATTTTACAGTTATAAAATACAAAATCGATTCTCAAAATCTCAAAAAGTAAAACTTTATATAGCCTTCGTATCTGGGATCAAATTGAATTCTCAAGGGGAGACCCGCGGAACACGCGTCCTTGTGTGATTCGCATACCAATTGTTTCGATATCGGCGGCTTTTCAAAGGGGGAAAAAAATGGATCCCGCGCGAATACCTGAGGACAAAACCGGTCTCTCGAAATCATCTAGGTGGAAGATACATAAAGATCCCTCAAGCGCGAGCTAGACCGAGTTTGTCGCGCTGAAGTCCCATTTCGATCAATGCTGCACGTGGTTCATTTTTAACGCTGACGCTGATATAATGACGCCATTGCAAGACGAAACTTCGGATTATCTCATTACTTAATCATGCACACGCGGGCTTGTCCCGTCGTGAAAATTAACACTTGTGTTAGGATAGTATGTATGAATATCTGAATGAATATACAGTATTTTTATTCAAAGTTCTATTCGGATACGTTAATTTTAAACGGATATCCATTATACTTGTCAAAAAAAACATGTCTCTGTTTTTCATAAATGAATCGCATCATTTGCATCATCCGATTTATTAAATTAAATTTGTTAAATTCCGTTTTCAAATTTTTAAAATTCTGATTATTATATTCTGTCTAATTTATTTTAGAATAATAAATACTAAATAACTCTTTTACTTTTTTTAATTTAAAATAGATACTTTAAATAATATTATTTTAAATACGATTGATCCCTGGATAATACGCAACCGTGTAAGAATATTCAATCAATAAACTGTATTACGATTCACTCTATTATGACAATTAAATCTTTTTCTTTGTTGGTTCTAACGGTATGTTACATTGAATATTAAGACGATCAACTTATTAACATATAATATGTATGTAGATGCGTTTTGAAATCTTTAATTTAAGAAATATATTTAATTAATTTGTGTAATATGAAGTTTTATGAGAAATAGAAAGAAAAAAAAGACGGAGATCGAGAAACAGATACGCAAAGTGACAGAGACGCAATAATAAAGACGGAAAGCGACGGAGAGATATTTTTTTCTGATAAGAATAAAAAATTGGAATAATTTAATAATCTAAAGAAAAAACATTAAAAATGTAAAAAACAAATATATAAAGTGTCCCCGTATAAGTGGCCACCCCTTTTTATCTCGTAAACTAATAGAGATAGACTTAATAAATATAATATCAAATTAAACGGCTCTGACGAAACTTTATTGTTAGCACAGTGATCACTTAGAAATATTATCTATGTTAGAGAACGATAAGACATGATTAATTTTTGCACGGTAAGGTGACAATTTTAATATGATAAAATGAAGATGGTCTCGAGACTTGGAACGTCGTTTATAAATATAAGCGCAAAAAGTTTATATATGATCTTATAGCTCAAAAAGCCGAGAAGATAGTTTAATTTACAAAATTGCTTTTTAAAAAGTTTATGATTGCTTTTCAAGAAATTATATGCATGTATGCGAGTCTAACAATGAAGGGGATTAAGCCAATGTGATTTAAATAGGCGCGAAGAGTTTAACAATTTTATTAATTAATGAAGATGATCTAGATTCCCGGAATGTGGACGTTTAAATAAGCGCAAAAAGTTTAACAATTTTATTAATTAATAAAGATGGATTAATAAAGATGTCTAGAGCCCGGAAATGTGGATCGTTTAAATGAGGGCGGAAAGTTTAACAATTTTATTTTATAATTAATTAATGAAAATGGTCGAGACTTGAAACGTCGTTTTAATAAGAAAGTGATTAATGAATTGATCAATAAAAAAAATTATAATATCATATAATTATATCGTTTTATATATGTTTATACGTATTTATACTTGTTCTTATAAAAAATTTTTACCGAATTTGGTCAAAGTAGAACTGCTTATACTTCTTTCTATAATAACAAATGTCTAAGCAATAAATTATATATATATACATAGATTTGGATTTGCCCATATTTAGAACGCACTTATAAATTATAGCTGTATTTAGCTTATATATATTTCATGTTACATATATAGTATACAATTTATGTACATACATATAATACTATGGAATCTCAAAAATAAAAATAATCAAATTTATTGATAAAATTGAGGTAAAAATATGAATCATATTATAGAATTTTAGACTTGTTAGCGCGTTAACATACAGTTTTTATAAGCATATATTCTGAATACGAAATTGGTCTTTTCCATTGCATCTATGTAATTTATATGTATTCTATACTGTAAATTTGTATAATCTATGTTAGAGATGTAAAAAAAAAACGTTTTTTTCTAATAAAAAAACATTAGAAAAAAACGTTTTATTTCATTGAAAAAATACAAATTTGGTTTTTTTTCTAATTCCGA